AGCAGCGCCTGTTTGGACTGAGAGTACGAGGCCAGCTGAGCAGCGTTCACGACCACCGCTCGAGCCATGGTGGGAATGCAACCCTGCAACAACAGAGTCGTCATCAGCTCAGTTATTAAAAACACCCAAAGAGACTCGATAAAGCTGCTGAACCAACAAACCGACGTGAACGCTCCACAGATGATGTCTGGAGTCTTTTCTGTGGGAAATGAACCAGCGAGGGTAGAGGTGGAGGGATGTCAGCGACCCTCAGAGCATGCTGTAGCTCCGATTTACAGTTTCAGCTTTTTATCGTCTTTGATTCAGCAGAATAGCTGAGATCAGTCCTAGTTTAGGTTTCAGCACTTAAATCCTCATTTTATTACTAACACTCATCAGGAAATTTGATTTAAAAATCAATTAACTTTTGTTATTGATATTACAGCAGTCGCACACAAATTACTCCAGAGAATGAAAGGACAACAAATTTTGTTAATCATGTAGTGAGAATTTCATGGATGAAGCTTTCAGATTCCTGCAAGCAGAATCTTTTTAAGTGAAAAGTTTAAAATGTTACTACCAAGTGTTTATAACTGAACAAAAACTGAGGCACTGCAATGACTCCGTATTCAGTTTATCTGACCTATGTTTGCACCATCTTTGGCGGGAAAACTGTTGCAAAACAAAAATAACTAATAATCAGAAAAAAAGATGCAGAGATCAGAAAAGAAGAAGATCCCTGTCCTTCCCGTCTTGGAGCAACTGTGACCACGTAATGTCATCTGGGAATAATAAAGTGTTCTGATACATTGAAAAAGACTGCGACACTGCCCTCTGCTGCCCCATGGAAGTACTGCAGATGGTCAGTAGAATCCTTTGCAAATTAAAACAATTTAAATTAATATTTTTAATAAAAATAAAAAGATCATTTAAATGTTTTAATTCAGTTTAAAATTATTTAAAATATTGTAGACACATTTTTAACAAGGGCTGTAAAAACTAACAAAATAAAGCCACTAAATCCATGAGCGTTTATTCAATCGTCACCTGAGGAGCTAAAATTATTCTAAAAAGCAGCGAATACTGCACCACAGTCTCGCGCAACGATTAGATTAGAGATTTGTGTTTGATAAAGAGAGACCCAGATTTAAAACATGTGACATTCTTCAGTTTGGAAATTCTTTAGAAGAAAAACTGAGAATTTTGGGAATATAAATGTTTTGGAAACATGAGGATAAGCAGAGAAAAAGCCAAATTCAAAAATATCAGAATCAAAACTGAGGTCATTTTTCTTGTTTTTGCTCAGGATTCGCAGAGTTTTTTTTCCCTTCAATAAAAGCTGCAGCAGTAGCTCACAGTTCCCATTAACTACTTTCACACATTAATAACAGTACAACGGCTTGAAAAACGAAATAGTTAAACAAATAAGAAAAATAAAAAAGAACTAATGTAATGTTTGTGTGATGTTAAATCGGGCAGCATCTACTCTGGGTGAAGGACCACTTCAGGACAAACCTTTTTATCAATTAAAATTTCCACATTAAATTACTGCATCTGGACTAATGGCTACTCATTCAGGCCCAAGTGAAGAAAATGATGGTGATGATGGTAGCCTCACCCTCCACAGCGTAGTGACGCCTTCCTCTTTGGTTATTCGAAAGAGGGCATTAAAAACATTCTTGTATCCTCTCCGCTGGTCTGCAGGTAACCTGGAGACACAAACGGTGAGGAAAACGCCTGCG